GTCTGCTTCTGCCTGACTTGCGAACGACAAGTGGAGTAGTGAATGACTCTGAATCTAATTGCCAAATAATAGGAATGGGTGTCCCAAAGCCATTCTCCTCGTCATTCACATCTCTGCCCTGTGTTGTGATGTCTGGTAGATCGTTAAACCTCACGAACTCCGATTCCTGAGGAGTTGCTTCAGAATTTGTACTAGTCATGTTTTTGTACATCTTCTCATTAAAGATCACATTTCTCCTTCTGATAATCTTCTGATCCTAATCATCCCAGGAACGATAGTCAAATGCTTCGTCTTCATAGCCAATGAAATAACATTTTTTGGATTTAGCCTTAAGCTTGCTACAAACATCAAGATTGGTTAGAACATAAGAAAGACAACCAAAAGACTTAAGATGAAAAAAATTGACCTCTTTGCCGCTTTAGACTTCTTCAGATAATTCACAGTTTAATGGGACGGATGACCCTCTTTTGATCAAGTAAACTGCAGTTTGACCGCATCTGCCCAAAAAATTGGTGGTAGTCTGACATGCAATCTCATGATCCTGACACGCTCATTGATGATCTTGTTCATACGCTTTGCAACTTCATTTTGTCGTATCTCCGGAATGGTCTTCTCCATTATGATACCCTAAACTACAGAATACTCCTTGGACCCACTATCGATGTACTCACCACCATTGTCAGACCTCAAACATTTCAATTTTAGATCTGTATGTCTCAACCATGATCTTTCAAGTTTTGAATACAGCAAATACATTAGATTTATGCTTCCAAAAGTAAACCCATTCTTTTTTTGTTGTGGTCATCAATGAATGCGACATGGTAGCGAGAGCCTCCAAGGGATGTAACTGGGGAAGTTCCCCACACGTCGATGTGTACAAGTTCTAGTTTTTCTGCTTTTTGCACTCTGTTATCTTTCAAGAAACTAACCTTCTATTTCCCTATAATGCAACTTTCACGTATATCGATATCAACTGACTTCAGTTATGGCAACTTGCCTCTGGACTGAAGCTCTTTCATGCTGCTCTGATTCATGCGTCCAAGCCCGTAATGCCACATGTCTGTTGTGCTCTCTGCAACTGTAGTATCAATACTGTTAATTAAATCAATATTCATATATAACGTATCAGTCTTTTTATCCCGAGTCAGTATCAGTGCTCCTTTGATAACCTTCCAGATGCTAACAAAGAACACTACTGAATGACTGCCTTCGTCGAGCTACCTAACAGACATGAGGTTCTTCTTTAGTTCAGGAATGCGTTTGACCTTTTGCAGAGTCCATTTGCTCTTGTTAGAGAGTGTAATATCAACGTCTCACATCCCCACCACCTTCAAAGCTTCTCCATCAGCCAGATACACCTTCCTAAAGTCACCTGCGACATAGTTTCGCATTAACTCCCGGTGGAAAAATGTATGGAAAGATGTCCCTGAGTCTAGTATCCAGTCATCAATAGAGCTGTGAACTGTAAGCAACAGTGCATCCTGCGGATGCACTTCTTCAGTTACAACATTAGCACTGACGTTTTCCGTCTTTTAAGGATTTTTGCAGTTCTTTATGTGGTCAGTTTTATCATAATTCCAACACGTTGCTGATTGATCAGGCTTTGACTTGCTCTTGCTTCTATGCTTTGATTTCGACCTTCCTCTGTTTGAGTTCCTGTCTTGTGAACTCGCTCTAGAATCAACATTCAGTGTCGAACTTGAGCCTGAGATCTCGCCAGAATCTTTCCTGCGCATTTCAGCCAAAATGAAATCACGAATATCATCATATTTTAACTTAGTTTTACTTATAGAGTTGCTAATTGCCATCCTCATGGCTTCCCGCTATTTGACAATGAGCCCTTCACGAATATCATCATATTTTAACTTAGTTTTACCTATAGAGTTGCTAATTGCCATCCTCATGGTTTCCCGCTATTTGACAATGAGCCCAACAATATTAACGCATGTATCTCATCGTCAAAATCAATTTCAACAGACGACAATTGATTTGTGATGATGATGTTGAACAACAGACACACCTTCCGCCATCTTCAAGTTGAATAACTTTTTCATCTAGTGCACTTTATTATTCACCGATGATTTTTCCTATGTACCTGATAAGGCCGCCATAAGGTCTGCAGTCGTCATTTCTTTTATGACGTTGTGGGCAACAGATCTCGATAGGGTTAATCGGATAACCCCAAAATCTGTCGATCCAACAGTTTCCAACCGGCCTCTTCTATCTTCTCTGGTCGTTTTCTCAGTAACGGAAGATGAAGTTTCTTCCTATAGAGTTAGTCTTCTATTTGCATCCTCCAGTAGCTAAAATTTGTGTCGTCGAACTTCTCGATCCCTGAAAACTTCATTTTGCATTCGGCCATTGTTTTAACGGAAGATGAAGTTTCTTCCCATAGAGTTAGTCTTCTATTTGCATCCTCCAGTAGCCAAAATTTGTGTCGTCGAACTTCTCGATCCTTGAAAACTTCATTTTGCATTCGGCCATTGTTTTTCCTTAAATCCAAAACCATGGCTTTGATACCAATTGTTATGAAAAATGATGATAATAAAGCGAAAAATGGAACAAGAAAATTCGTACAAAAATTACATACACAGATTTACGTGGTTTGACAAATTTGCTTACATTCACGGAACTGCAAAGAATTTTATTACTTTGAGGAATTATACTGTCGAGCGTCTTGACGTTTACAAGAAATCTCAATTTCTCTTCCTCTCTCTCTCTCCTCTCTCTCTACCTCTAGGTGAAAGAAAACAAAGAAGTTAACTGTCATAGAAAGGAGGTAGTTTTTGGGATGGGTTTAGGAAGCCTAATTGCTTCCTATTTATAATAAGCAAAATGGCTTATTTCGGAAGCCCGTGAAGCTTCCCGCGGCAGAGTGTGACGCGATCCGCGTGAGGTACTACGCGGAGAGGGACGCGGCGTGAGGCGCAATGCAGAGAAATGGGAAGGGATGCAATTCCGCGTGGGATGTGTGAGGCGAGACACTGAGAGGGAGTCAGGCGGAACAGACTCCATATTCAACAAGATAACTCATTATATTGTTTAATACTTCTGAGATTTAAGTGTTTTTTAATAGAAAATGAATACTAAATGAGATAATATGTACGGAATGCAATGTTAGCAACTTGAAAGGTACATTTATTTAGTCAATTAAATTATTTCGTACAATTCATTTGGATTGTAAACTCCTAGGTATAGCAAAATAAAAGAATGGAAAATAAATGTAGAAAATTTTAAATTTCATGATACTGCTGTCCATTTCCGCATTGGAAATTCGAAGCCCCTAGCGAGGTTGTGACATATTATGGGCAAGAAGATTATAAAATGTTCTTTATACACTGAAAGGATGGGAAGATTACCATGTATATTGTGTATGTGGACACTTTAATTCTCACGAGAGATGATTTATATGTGTTGAACTGTTTTAATACTTCTTTCAATGACACTGTGATGGGTGGTTGTAGATCTGCAAAACACTCTAATTAATTCGAATTAGAAACTAGGAGATGGGAAGAAAGGTGATTAAATGAATACAACGTGGTATAAAAATTTGGTTGAAAAAATGATATACTTATCACATACTCGATGAAATATTGCCTTTGCTGGGAGTTTGGTTTGTCAATTTATGCATTCACCCTTTGAGAAATGCCTTAAAGCGATTAATAGAATTCTCAAATACCTAAAAAGTATACCTACAAGGGCTAACTCTTTCAGAAGACCACACAACAAAATATAGAGACATACGCTGATGCAGATTGGGCAGGCTCAGATATTGATAGGAGATCAGCTTTTGGATACTTTACTTATGTGTTGGAAAAATTGGTTACATGGCAAAGTAAAAAACCGAATGTGGTTACGAGGAGTAGTGCCGATGCAGATTACATGGCTATGGTTGATGGAGTATGTGAGATGTTATAGCTGAAGAGAATTCTTGAAGAGCTGTGGATCCTGATAAACATGCCGATGAAGTTGCAAAGTGGCAGTAAAACCTCCATAAGCATTATAGAAAATCAATTGTGAAATGATCGTACAAAGCATATGGAGATTGACAAACACTTCTTAAAAGAGAAGATTTACTGTGAAGCTATTTGTATGTTGTTTATTTCTACTGCTCAACAAATAACATTTATCTTCATCAAAGGATTTTTCATACTTATTTTTGAACTTCTTGTAAGCAAATTGGGCATTATAGATATCTATGCTTCAACTTGAAGCGGTTTTGGATGTTTGGTATCTTCTATTTTTAGTATTTCCTATTTTTAGAAATTTTTATTGTTGGTAATTTGTAATTCCTATTTTCTTTTTTAGCATGGGGATTTTGCGTCTTGCCAATTTGGTGATCTTTTTTTGCTATTTATCTTGCAAACATTTCTTATGAAAGCAAAGAGAAGTAATTATTTTAACTCTCTCAAAAACTGCATGTTTAGTATTTTTTAAGTGTTAATTATTTTTAAAAATAAATTTAGCTGTTTTTAAAACACCCAAAATACTTTTTTGGGTATTTTCGTTGTTTTCAATATAGGAACTTTCAATCACCAACCTTCCATCATGTCAGCCACCTCCACCCTCGCATCTGATGCTGGCCAACCGTGCGCCCATTGCTATCTAACTTCGCTCTTCCCAGCGGTCAGATTAGTGTTATAGTTGACAATAGCTTTATCTCTGCCAACACTTGTAGTTGCGGTGCCACTTCCATCTTCCAAATGGCCAAAAAAAATTGAATTTTGTGATATTTAACTGACAAAGAAAAGTTATATTTGAGATACAAAGGATATTTTTTATTTTAAATCAAAATATTAATAAAATAAAATAAAAAACAAAAGTGGTTCTAAAAGTGCCTTCAAAGAATCTTTTTCTGATAAATCATTAAATTATTATATGCTATATTTTAATTTTGCCTATAAAGCGAGTAATAACCTTTTTTCCTCTCCTTTTTTAGTGTTCGTTGAAACTACTTTTGGTTATTCTGCGTGACTGCTGCTGCAACTTTTCCCTCACAGGTTAACACACCACAAGCTGCCATATGTGTTCTGGCTTCACAAGTTGCGAACTTCGGTGAAAGCTTCATAGGTGCTACACTACAAGAGAGAGACGGTTTCCAATGGGTATTGTGAAATCTGAATTATTTTCTTAATAACTGCTTGCTTTACATTTGTTTACTATTTCTGAACGACTTTCATTGTTTTATGTATTTATCTTGTTCCAATAGCTAACAACAATGACTTTTTGGGAATTTGTAGCTCAATAATGATGCAGTCAATGTGCTGAACATCTCCATTGGTAGCATCTTGGCTGTTCTGATGCAGGTACTCATAGTTGATGGCTGGCGGTGATGAATGATTTACAGCAAATTCACATGGCGTGTTTCCCTCGCCTTTTAAGAAGTTCTATCTCGGTGAGTTAATCTCTTGGAACTTTGAAAAATGGCAATAAATTAGTTTTATGATTTTATGAAACAACGGATTTTACATATGTAGAATAATATTTGAGTATTATAGAGATTATGCTACAGTTGAGGCTTTCTGGTTGTTTTCAGCGTTGCACTATTGATATAATTAATTTTGAGAGAAGTGCCAAAATGGTCTTCTGCCTCTTTGCTATGGGTCATTTTATTGTCAAATTCTATAAAAGTTTTAATTTAATCCCCATACTCCTCCCTGGAGCCTATTTCAGATCATATTAAAATAGTATGGGGGCTATTATGACATTTCTATGGACTCTGGCATTAAAATGATCCCATGTAAATAGTGGAGGGATTATTAACCTTATGTAATTTTATCTTTTGATTAAGAAAGAAAATAATTTCAAGTTTTGTAAATAAGTATAATAATATTTCTCATGGCAGTTGTCATAATATCTGATATAATGTCAAACTAGGATTTCATACTGACTAGCTGTAAGCTAATGTTTCTCAACAAATCTTACTTTTAAAAAATTCTGCCGTAATGCTAAGGTTAATTGCCCTTATTTGTGAGATAGAGTAAACTTATTAGCCTTTTCAGTAAACTTTTGAAACTATTATTGTCAAGAAAAAAAACTAACTGAATAGATTTCTTACAGATAACACCTTCAGTAAATATCAGAGCTAATTTGTTAATATGAAAAAATAGTTAGAATCTGGAAAAATCATATAGAAGTTAGTGTAAATTTAATTGAGAAAGCATTGATTTTAGGGAAATTTATCCAAATTTAATGTAATGGGTCATAGACATGTAAAATAACCCAAATTTATGCTATTTGGATTCAATTAAATATAGGGAAATTTATCCAAATACCACACAATTCTTTTGTATTTATATATCTAACACCCAAAATTTGATATTTACACTTATAACACCATGTTGTCATAAACTTATGCATAAAAAGGTTCAGTTTTAAAAAATTAATGATGGTGGTATTTTTGATCTGATGTTGAATACTTAAGTGGTATGCATCTGAGGGTCTGTTTGGGGCAGCTGAAGCTTATCCAGCTTCTGCTGATAAACAACTTATTATGATAATCTGCTGATGAGCATCTGATTCGGATAAACTGTCTGGCTGTTTGGTTTGTGCGTATGAAAAACAGCTGATTTTGGAGAAATTACTATTCTACCCCTATTTTGGCAGAGGTAGACCGTAGAATAAAAGCTTCAGCAGAGTGAAGCTTCCTTCGGCAGAGGCAACAGAGCAGAGCTTTGGCGGAGGCAGACCGTAGCTTCGGTGGAGGCAAAGCGGAGCTTCGGCGGAGCGGACGCAGAACGGAGCTTCGTCGGAGGCGGACGCAGAGTGGAGCTTCGGCGGAGGCAGACGCAGAACAGAGCTTCGGCGAAGCAGACGCAGAACGGAGCTTCGGCGGAGGCAAAACGGAGGCAGACCAGAACTTCGGCGGAGGCAGAGCGGATCTGACACGAGGGAGGGGCAGGCGCGTAAATGCTGCCCCAATCGGGCATTCGAAACGTTGATCGCGGTTCGATACCTGCGATCGTGTTTTTTTCTAAATCTGAAACGTGATTTTCGAATAAGTTGCACAAACGCGCAAAACAAGCCGCACTTATAAGCTGCCCCAAATGGGCCCTGAATCTGAACGTTTAGGTGTTAGATACGTAAATACATAAGAATTGTGTTGTATGTATGTAAATGCCCCATTAATATATGTTTACAACCGCACAGTCATGGTACTTCCACTAGTTCAGAGAAAATTACACTAATGTTTCTTTAATTCTCACATATTTTTATCTTTTTTTATTCTCTTTTCTTCTCTTTGTTATAACTAACTCCAAACTCAAGTAATTACAAGCTGCACCTAAAGAAAATTTTTCTGTGTGTTAGAATTGGTTTATCAACTTCTTAAGCATCCATTTTGTCATCCCTTAATGTCCAATCATCTTTAGATGGGAATTACATCATATCTGAGCATGATAAGTTAGCTTCAATCAAGCCCAAAGAAAAAAAAAAAACTCCACATTGGCAAAAGAAGTACTACATGGTTTCTATATTCATACAAGGTCAAGTCTTCAGTTGGTCAATCCATGCATCTAACTCTTGACTTCAACCATATAACAGCTCAAACTTTCATCCACGAGATGCTGTCTAGTTTGGCATCACGTATTTATGCTTTTGTCTCATTGGTTTAACTTCCTAGGAGGTCACCCATCCCAAGAGTGCTCCTGAATGAGCATGCTTAACCTTAGAGTTTTTGATATAAAATTCTAGTAGTTACACCAAAATACGCCTTGATGTTTAAGAATTTAGCTTCATTTTACTTGAGAGCTTTTATAATTTACTACTCTTAAGTAACTGGCATCCCCGACAATTTGCTTAACCCGGAATCACCACCTAGAAGCTAAAAAACTTTATATTATTACAAACCAAACCATTATATGTAGGAATCTCTAATTTGGCTTCTACTTTGAATAGTTGTGTTTCTTCGCCACGAGTAGTTGTGATGTCATCTTTTTCATTCTCTCCTAATATGTTTGCTTCTAGCTCTTGTGACAGACAAAATTAGAGAAAGTCGTCTTAGATGGTTTGGTCATATTAAACGTCGACCATTAGATGATCCGATTAGGAGAGTAGATGTTTTAAATTCGACTAGTGTTAAGAAAGGCAGAGGTAGACCTAGGAAGACTTGGGCTTATTGTATTAAAAATGATCTTAATTTACTGGAACTAAATGAAAATATGACACTAAATAGGACGCAATGGAGAAAAAGTATTCATGTAGCCGACCCCACAGTGGGATTAAGGCTTTGTTGTTGTTGTTGTTGTAGCATAAAAGGATGTGGAATATGCTTTAGTCGCGTTGAATTTTTGCTCTAATCATAACAAAAAACTTGAGGCACATGGATCAAGGCAATGTATTATTGTTTTCACTTAAATTCTCAGATAACAAAGAACTTAAGAGACGCAGATCAAGGCTCTATGTCGTTAGCTTCGTCTCTCTATGTCCCTCAAATTATAATCCGTGTGTTTTCATAAAGGATTGCCGACCCCTATTTCTTTTTCCTTTCTTTTTTGGTTTTATTCTTATTTTGTAATACCTATTGGAGATGTATATGTATCTCCTCTTTTGTACAATAAAGACTAAAGACTTTTGAGAGTTTTTCTATTGTTTTATTTTCTACATGGTATCAAAGTAAGGTTTGGGTGTTTTTTTCAACCTTCATTCTTATTCTTTAAAGTTATAATTTTTACTTCCAACATTTATTCTTATTCTTTAAGGTTAAGTTTTCACTTCCAACCTTTATTCTTATTCTAAGATCAGGGTTTCCACTTCTAACATTTGTTTTTATCTCTAAGTAATGGTTTTTACTTCTAACTTTTGTTATTATTCTCTAAAGTTATGTTTTTCACTTATAACCTTATCCCCATCAACGAATTCACCTTCAATTCACTATTTTGGTGTTATTTAACTTCCCTTCAAAAGAATCGATCATGATTAATGCTGAAAATCAGACAAAAGAAGAACTCCACATATTTCAAGCATCTTATTTCTTGAATGGGATAAATTACCTTAAATGTTTTCAAATCGTGAAGACCTTTCTAAAGAGAAATAGAAAAATCCAACACCTTGTAGATCAATCTCTGAAACTCTAATACTGAAAATTCTTACTTTTGGAATATACTGATTCCATGATCATAACATGGCTATGGAGGCCCATGCTACAAAAAACAGTGAGTCTTTTATGTTTCTCTCTCAAAAGAAATATGTTTTGTACGTGTTGAAAGAAACCAAGATGATAACAACTTAACCAAGACCAAATTTGGATTTTGATGAAGGAGCTTATGTAGATACTAGATAATATTAAAGGAAATCAAATGACTGTCATATTCACCAAAAGTCTCTGCAACTAAATATATCATAAGCAAATTTGGAATGGTAGATCTGTACCATCCTGTTTGATGAGTAGTAAACTTTTTACTCTAATCATAACAGTGAACTTAAGTCACACGGGAGAAGGCAATGTACCATTGTATCTGTTTACTTATGACTCTCATATAACACATAATTTAAGGTACACAGATCGAGCTCTATACCGTTAGATCTGTTTCTGTGACCCTGGAATTAAAATCCCCATGCTTTCGTAAAGGATTGTTGGTCACTATTTATTTTTCACTCCTTTTTTGGTTTTATTCCTATTTTGTAATTCTATTGGAGATGTATATATATCTCCACTTTTGTATAATGTAGAGGGAAGACTCTTGTGAGTTTTTCCATTGTTTTATCTTCAACAAGTCTTGTAAAGCCCCATTTCAGTTATTCGAGGAAGAAGAAATGACGAGTTAGAAGAGGAAATAAAGAGTCGAACATGGGGGAGTTGAAGCGATGAGTCAGAAAGCGAATAAGAGGGAGGTCAGGAAACTAAACAGGTAAGTTCGCTTATAAATTTGTTGTGAGGGAGGCAAAAACTTATAAGAGAATCAAACGGCATAAGTTAGGGCTTCTTTATAGTCGGAGGCAACGGACAACGATGTCTTTGTTGAGCAGCGGAGGAAGTGTCTTTGTTGAGCGGCGGAGGAGAGCCCATGCCCTATCCTACCGGCGAAGAAGAGGAAATGAAGTAGCATCATAGAGAATGAGGACGAGTTGAGATCGTGCTTTCTTGCGAGAGGGTATCGACAACATTGAAGACTTTCGTTGCTTGGTTGAGCCGTGGTGTTGACAGAGAGGGAGGAGCTGAAGTCATTGTCGAACAAAAAAGGAGGAAAAAGCCATGGACTGAATTTGTGTCGACGAAGAAGCGAGGCAAAATTATGATTTTGCATGGTTAGGGTTGGACCGAGGGTTATATTAGAGGTGTGATTTATTATTTAATAAGAATTGTATACTTGGGGGGTGTGTGTGTGGGGGGGGGTACATATACATACAAATAATTATGGTTTCATGTATTAAAAATAATTATATTTTATACTCACATAATAAAAAGTTAATAGTTTATTAAAATATTAGATTAATTAAATTTTAATTTGAATACCATGTGTATTTTGGGCTTCCAATTTTAGAAGGATCTATGTCAAGACAAATCAAATAACAAATTAATGACATTGAGGTGAGTACTTATGTTCTTATACTAAGGTGATATTTTGTTTCTTCTCGATTAAATGCATTTATTGTTACTATTATAGTACTGCATTCCTATGATTTATCGGTCTAGTGAATTTTGTTCATATTGTAAGAATGTCATGTGTTCTCAGTTTTGTTTAAATTATCATTGAATCTTGTACAAGAATATTGACTGTTATGCAAATGAGAATGAATTTATTATTATTGAAAAGGTAATATTTTTATAGTATGTTTGTATGTGCATATTTGACTATGATGAAGTCACTTCTTAATGATACTAGTGAGGGAATACTAAGGTACTTATTCATCTATATGAAAAGGATATTGATATTGAAATACTTTAAGTAGTATAATTTTTAGACGGTGCACCTATGATCATTGTACGTATATATAATGATATTTGTATGATATTGATAAAGTAAAGCATTGAATAACATGTTAAATGTTATATTGATAGAGTAAAATATAACTAGCATGTATTTTGTTTTTTTTCTTATATTTTTATAGTTTAAGAGAATGAGTTTTCGCTGTGTAGCTCACAGTTAATTTAAACTAACTTTTCAGGTTAATTAAATGATTAAAAGATGAACAATGGACGGAAAATATTTATAGAAGACATGAACAACTAATAATGAGGTAAATATAATTCTACAATTTTAATTTAATTATTTAATGACTCTTTAGTTCCCACTATCCTACTATTTGTTCTCGGCTTAGTTAATTTCAAGCCTCGGGTCTGGTCATGACAAAAGTAGTATCGGAGCGAGATTTAAGATTAGTTAATGAAATCTTGATGAAAGAGCTAATAAGATAATTATAAAAAAATTTTAATGGTAAAATTAAATTTATAAATTTCGACGATAAAATTTTGGTAAGTGGGGAAGATTGTAAAGCCTCGTTTTAGTTGCTCAGGGAAGAAAAAACGATGAGTTGGAAGTGGAAGTGAAGGGTTGAGCATGGGAGAGTTGAAGAAGGGAGACGAATTGAGAAGGTCGAGAAACCAAACAGGTAAGCTCGCCTATAAGTTTGTATTGAGGGAGGTAGAAACTTACAGGGCAGTCGAATGAAGCAATTTAGGGCTTCCTCATAGTCGGAGGCAAAGTACGTCTTTATCAAGTAGCGGAGGAAGGAGCGGCAAATAAGAGCTCGTGCTCTGCCCTACCAGCGAAGAAGAAGCGGAAAGGAAGGAGCATTGCAAATTAGGACGGGTTGAAATCGTGCTTTCTTGCGCGAGGGAGTCGGCGACGCAGAAGACTTTCGTTGCTTGGTTGAGGTGTGATCTCGAAAACGAGGGAGGAGTAGAAGTCATTGTCAAACAGAAAAGAAAGAAGAAGCCGCGAGCTGAATTAGTGCGAAATAGAAAGTCAAACATCGCCATACGCAGAGGTTGCGGAATCGCGAGTTTGTTCATGGTTAAGGTTGGACCAAGGGATATATTAATGTTGTGGTTTATTATTTAATAAGAAATGCATACTTGTTATATATATGTATATTTATGTATATATATGTGTATAAAATTAATGAAATTTAATACTTAAATAATAAAATTTTAATAGTTTATTAAAATATTAATTTATTTAAATTTTAATTTGAATACCATGTTTATTTTAGTCTTCCAATTTTAGAAAGGTCGATGTTAAAACAAATCAAGTATCAAGTTAATCAAAATTGATATGAATACTCATGTTTTTGTACTATGATAATATTTTATTTCTTCTCGATCAAATGTATCTATTGTTACTATTATAGTATTGCATACTTATGATTTATGAGTCTATTAAATTTTGTTCATATTGTAAGAATGATTTGTGTGCTTAGTTTTGTTTAAATTATCATTAAATCATGTACAAGAATATTGACTGCTACGCAAATAAGAATGAAATATTTATTATTAAAAAGGTAATATTTTTATAGTGCATGGTTGGCTATGATGGTGTCACTTCTTAATGGTACAAGTGGGGGACTACTAAAGTACTTGTGCATTTATATGAAAAAGAATATTGATATTGAAGTACCTTAAGTGGTACAATTTTTAGACGGTGTTCTTATGACCGTTGTACAAATATATAATGATAATAATATAGTAATGCGTTGAATAATATTTTAAATGTTTATATTGATTTACTAAAAGTTTAACTAGCATGTATTTTATTTTTTTCTTGTATTAGTGTAGTTTAAGTGTATGAGTATCCACTATCTTTTTTAACTCACAGTAAATTTAAACTAACTTTTAAAGTTAATTAAGTGATTAAAAGATGAAAAATATACAGGAAAATATTTATAAAAGATGTGAACAACCAATAACGAGGTAAATGTAATTTTAATGTTTTAATTTAATTTATTTAATAACTCTTTCATTTTTTAATTTGTAGATAAGTACAAAAAATTTAGCTCTCACAGAAGTGATTAAAAGATGAACAATATACGAGAAAATATTTATAAAAGATGCGAACAATCAATAATGAGGTAAATGTAATTTATTGTTTTAATGTAATTTATTTAATGACTCTTTCATTTGTTAAATTGTAGATAAGTAAAAAAAATTTAGTTCTGACCGTCTGTTCTTGTCTTGGTTAATTCAAAGCCCAGGTCTAGCCGTGACAAGTCTCCCTATTGTATCTATGGTTTGCATTATCTTTAACACCATAATATCTTTAACTACCTGGTTGACAAATTTGATATAAGATCATTCTTAACTATTGATAGTCTTTTTTTTTTTAATGCTCAACTCTTTCTTGGCTTTCAATGACACTATAAAAGAAGCAAAAGCCCTCCATTTTCTTCATTTCCTCTATGATTTTACCATGTACTAGTGAATGATATTTGATACCAAATTTAGCCATAACTAGCTTAGTCCATCATGCGATGCTAGAATGAATTCAAAAATATTTTAGGAATAGTAACCAATCAATAACTACTATATTACCCGAACACAATTTTTTTTTTAATTCTCAAGCATTGGAGACCTTGGGCCAGGAGAAATAAAGAAGAGCGAGAGACTTATTTTTTTGGTTTTATTTTATTTTACTTTTTTTTTAAAATTCTGTTACAGCCTGTTTATAGCTGAAGTTATGATGAGATTCAATTTAAGAACAAATTATTTCCATTTAAAATTAAGTCCACAATAGAAGGAAACTAATCTTTTTAAAGAAAACTCATCTTCAAATGAAATGAAATAATATAATTACAGTAGACTTATCATAATCCATAATGTAAAATTCATATACAATGTTATTAATATATATATATATATATATATATTGTTATCCTGTTACAAGCTGGTTTTAGATCCAATAGTCCAGACTTCTTATTTTTAAGCTTGATTCCCATTTTCGATTGACAATAATTTGTCTTCACTGGTGGACACTCGGTGATGCCCTCTTCGAATTCAATAAGTTGATATGAAGATCAATTGATACTGGAGTTAATTGCAAATCCAAAAAGGAAAATAGATTCTATTACTAAAAAACAATGGAGTTACAATCACAGCTCAAACATAGGAAATGAAATAAAACATGACAGGACTCACCGGCTAGGGCGAGATGGGACATACAGTGGACAACGGGTCAGAGAGTTAACAAATGGGAGCGTTGGGCTAATTGGGTGCTGACAGTGGTGGTTGTGGTAGGAAGGAGTGATTGTGAAGGATATGTAGGGAGGGGAATTATTAGAGGCTGGTTTTGGAGTAGCTGCTGATTGGGATGGGCGGCAGAGAGGAGGAGGGTCGACTGGGAGTAGATCACAGCGACCTGTAGCGGGAAGGGGGAGTCGGTAGTGAGATTAGGGGGGTCATAGGTGTGGTAGTAGGACGGGAATGGGCAGGTAGAAAGTGTGACAACAAAAGAACGTGAAATTATTTCAAAGCCTTACATCAAGATATTGCATGATTTTGCGTATTGGCGGCCTTATATTTTTTCTCATTGGTGTGACTTCCGAGGAGTACTTTTGCATTAACACGCTTAACTTTGGATTTTCTATTGAAACCAACAATTGCACTGAAAAGTACATCGATGTTTAGGAGTTTAATTTTATTCTACTTAAAAAGGGTTCTTCTCAACATTGTTGCAATTCAATCTTGGTTCACCTCAACATTGTTGCAATTCAACTATAGGTCACCTTTTGCTTTGAGGCTTTGTCGGTCTCCCAAGTCTTTGACAACCATTATGATTGGTATGCATAAATGTGGGGTAGAGAGGGAGGGAGGGAGGGATTGATGTTCAGAATTAGAATCATAGACGATCTGATTAATCATGTACAATATTTGACCACTGGCAATTACTCGGCTGTTTTTGCAGCATCATTAAACTTTTAATTGTTATTCTTCTCTGTGCAGTTGCAACTCGATTCTTAGACCACCATGCTTTGAAATCTTTTCGATCGCCCAAGCCCTTCAACAACTCTGAGTCCGTGACCAAGCCAGGTAACATCCCATAATGTCCTTGGTTGTTGTTGGTTTACATAAATTTTTGTGGGAGAGAGGAAAATAAATTAGCACTCATAAATAAATTAAACAAAAGGTAAATCTCAAGTTCGAGGAGATATGTGGAGAGAAATTTTAGGGGCAAAAGCATGCCCTCGAAGGCCTGTGGGATGGGAGCGATCCTCCACCTTAAACACCAGGCTGACGTCTCACGGCCACTATTTATTCACTCCATTATTTTGTAAACAGTATGCACTTTGAAGTACAACCTACCTAAAAAATAATAGATTCTTTTGACACAGAAAATAATAGATTCCTTTGGCAAACGTCTAAATCATTTTTGTCCAACGCTCAATCTATCACTCCCTTTCATCTTTAAACCAAAATAAATAAATAATAAAACAAAATTGCATTTTTTGTAGAGTAGCAGCAACTAAGTTATGTCTAGCATCATCCATATATATAGGAATAAGATTAATAATATAATAACTCGTTCAAATCCTACATTAATGGGAGTTTCCTTGTGCCGGTATGCCTTATTATTTCATCGTCAACAGCGTTTTCAAAGTGCTCATTTTAGCCGTGTTAACCAGAACTTTCGCATCAGACAATGCCAGCTGCAAAAGGACGATTCAAATTTTCTCAAATTATCTTTAGTTTTTTTCACGAAGGATTCATGTTTTTAAAGAATAGTTGAGCTATAAATCACAAATTATGCGGTTAGAATTTGTTGACTTGAATAAATAACTTTCTTTAAACCATTAGATCACGGATCATTTCATTGAAGGGTTTTCTTTTAGCAATTACACATTTGTATTGAATCAAACAGCTCTAAGCATGTAAATTAGCATCTTTGTGTGCTCTGGAAAATAAATAAATAATAAAATTCAGTTTTTCTTGCGGAATTAAAAAAAAAGATCAAAAAGCATGTATCCTGTGGCCATTGCCTGTTTGAAATTTGAACCATCTTTTGTAAGGAAAATTCAGTTACATGCCAAATAAGGCCTATATATTTACCTGCCTAACTCCTAAAGCTTGATTTTTATATTTAGAGCATCTTGATGACATAAATTTGTACATGAAAGAGGCATTTCACTTTAAAAAAAGTCAATTATAGTAATATTTTTTTATCCAATATTGGGAAATTTACATACAAATCAAATGATGCGTATGTATTTACATATTTGACATCTAAAGTTTGATATTTATATTTATAAATCTATGCATGAAAAGATGTATTTCACTTTTAAGAATTTAGTAATAGTGATATTTTTGATCTAATGTTAAATATTTGAGTGACATGTATTTAAATTTCATAGTTTAGGTGTTAAATATGTAAATATATAAAAATTGTGTGGAATGTATGTAAATGATCCTATAATATTAAAAATTTGACTGTTATGCAGTAAATATGAAATTTTATGGGCCATAATATTAAAAATTTGACTGTTATGCAGTAAATATGATTATGGGCTATATAACTAAAAACATAAGAATTGTGCGGCATGTATCTTAATGCTCCTCTTTTTTTTTTTTTTTAAGTTCAACCGACTGGAGTACTATTTATCTCTCTCTCAGCCTTCTTACGAACCACGTTATTGTACAGTGGTTCTGCAGATTTTTGTTCAGTTTCTTTGTTCGGTCACATCGACCAGTTATGTCAGGTGCTGTTAGATTCTATTTCAAGCATTTTTTTAATAGTATAGCCAGCAATGTATTATGTGCTTACATGCAGCATTTTTTTAATAGTATAGCCAGCAATGTATTATCTGCTTATGTGTTTTCATGACTGAGTAATTATTATGGCTTTAGACCAAAATGCGCGGTGCACGTTTCGGCCACCTCTTTGTTGTACGTAATTAAAGTTTCATACGAGTATAATGTTATCAGAAATCCTATGCTTTCACCCGAAAAAAGTAACAAAAATTTATGTCACCATACTAGCTGATTTGGTGGATCATTTTAGTGTGGAAATAGATCTCTTTTTTTTATTTGTTTCATTATTATTACTATTATTTTTATTTTCAGTAATCTAATTAAACGTGTAAAAAATAGACGCAACATGCAAACTCTATACTCAAATTTGACTAAAAAAAGATTCTGGATTAACCCGCATATTTTTTTTGTGTCGGATTCGAGTTAGAAATTGTAACCTATTTAATTTTTTAAGTCTGGATCGAGTCAACTCACTAACCCGAAATTGATTCTAAATTGACCGGCTGATCCGAGATGGACCCAAAATTGATCTAAATAGCTTTTATGTGATATTAAACTGATTATATATGTGCTCGGGTTTAGATCAACCTGGTTATATATGTGCTTGGTTTGGGTCAGATTTGTTGAAGGAGGGCCATATTTGGGTTCAGGTTGATTTTTTTGACTCATTTAATATTTTGGGTCAGTATTTTTTAGGTAGGGTCAATTTGATGGATTTGAGAGAGAGAGAGTGAGAGAGAGAGTGAGAAACTTGTGTACTGGCCTCCTGTGGTCTCCCACATGCGTTGGCTGTGAATAAATATGAGGTTAGGCCGGTGTTGATCAACTAGAAATTATGAAATTGGTATTGTACCCCCAATGATTTTAATTTGGAGGATTTACATACATACCACTTAAAATTAGTCTATTAACCTAACGCCTAAAAACGAATATTTACTATTATACAACCTATAATGGCCAAACACCTTAAAAAATGCAACTGTCTGCCACTGTTTCTTCCCCAATTAAAATGTTTGCAGCTCCTAATCTCCCAATAACTATCTCGCTGCTTCATTGTTCTATTCCTTCTATCGGCCTGCTCGTCTTCAGTCCTCTGTTCAATTTTCTAAATCCACAGAGATAATTTATGGAATGAAGTGGTTTCATCACCTCAGGAAACTATGCTCTATGAATATCTCTGCTAGTTTGATAGAGAAAGGGCAAAATAATGTAATTGACATCTCTATAATCGCTATGATTCATGAGATGGTCAAGCTCATGGTTCCCTCTATTTCACACACTGTAGCAAAATCAAAGCTGCAAGGGAACGACGGCGAGCTTTGCTGATGGAAGCAATGGAGCGATGAGAAAGTAGCCTGGTAGCTGTTGGGAGAGCTCGGGCCGTAAATGAACCACGGAGGTGGTGCTGCGCACAAGATGAAGAGGGTTTGTCGAACTGAGTTAACAGAAGAGGTATGGTATTTTTTATGAATTGAGAAGTTTTAGGGGGTAGAATAGTTAATAATAGGTCTTAGATGTTAGAAAAAAATAGAGTAGTTTTTGTTGGTATGCATGTAAATGCCCCTTTTAATTTAGCTAGGGAATGCCAAAATAATCTGCACTGATACATTCTGATATCCTTTGCATAATATTTATTTCTATTATTTACCATTCATATCAATGCCATAAATATTATTTATTAAATAACTATTATTCTCACAGTATTCTGGCAATGTAACTATCAAACATTTATGTACTGTACTGAACTGTAGCAAATGCGAAAACAAAGGTTTGGTAGTTCCAACGAGTAAATACTACTGGCCAATACTCCAACCATTGGACATCCAGTTTTGGGAAATCCGCAAATCTACTTATATAGTTTATATGATTTGGACAATGATGAGTCTTAAATATTTCGATTCCTGTTGATCACTGTAACCCAGTAATTGCTTCCCTTCAGGGGTTGTCTGGTAACGGATTTAATTGGGATTTGACTTCAATATGCAGGACAGAAAAAAAGGTTAGATTATAAATCTTAATTGGGATTTGACTTCAATATGCAGGACAGAAAAAAGGTTAGATTATAAGTCTTTATGTAATTGCAATGTCTTTCTGATTCCTTTCAGTCCTGGTGGTGGATCGGATTTATTGGACTTATTAAAGCTATTACCAAACAGCCCATTAATGTGGAAATAAAGATCATATTCTGTAATCCGTTGGGAATCTTTAGGATAGTTGGTTTTTAAATCATTGAAGCTCTGATTGCCGGATTGGTCATTTTACCTGCTTCTAACCATCATTTCCTGATCTCCACTCTGCTCCTGCCACCGCCCGTTCGGCTGCAGTTGCTAAAGCATGGCACGATCTGATGATTTCTTATTTAAGCCTTCTCTGATTCAAAGTTTTCCAAGATTTTCTTGGTTAGTAAAAAAATTTTAGGCTAATCTACAGAAATTTTTCATATTTTTTGCCTAGGAGCTTTGAGCTTTCTCCTATCAACCTTTTATGTTGTTATTCTAATGGAATTTTGCTTTAGCAAGATTTGTTATGCAAACAATCCCATAAATTTGTACTGGCCTCAGTTTTTTTCTCAGTGACCTAATCTTTTTATTTTTTGAAGAATAAATATGAAAATAAAGTAAATTAGTAGAAAGCAATGTGCCAGTTTTATGGAAATCATCAAGTTTGGAATATATTAACGTTGGAACAGGAACGTTGCCGTCTCCTGTCTCCCCTTTCAAAAGTCTTCCAAACTCCGACCCCACTTATTTTACTAAAGATCCCTCTCATGCTAACAATACGAAAAATTATTAGACCTGCGAACTCGCACCTAATAATTTTTCCAACAATACCCCCTCCATTATTTCCATCACATCGACTGTTCAGCACTCTTCGTCTCCCTCTCTCCTCTCTCTCTAATATGCAGATCAAAAAACCCTTCAATATTTCGTTTCGTTACATGGACGCTGAAACTCTCCTCTCTTCTTTTTTCTACGTCTAAGCACTTCCTCCCTCTCCTCAACAATGTCAAAACTTGTATCTTCCACCTTCCCCCAACTCCTACTCCTTCACCCTCTTCTCCTCTCCCTCTACTTAATCACTCCCATCTCCACTACTGCTCCCCTAAACTTCTTTGAAAAGGAAGCTCTTTTATCCATCATGGATTCCATATCCTCCGATAGAGACTGGAGATCCTACAGCAGCGAAGATCCCTGCAATCCAAGCTCCTCATGGCCTGGTTTAGAGTGCAAACCCGGTTCAGATAACCGTTTTCATGTAACTAAACTAGTCTTTGGAACCCATCCTAACCCAACTTGCAGAAGCTCTGCTACTTTTCCCTTTCAAATCTTTAATCTTCCATATCTTCAATCCATCCACTTCCTTAACTGCTTCAAAATCAAGAAGACAACACTCTTCTTACCCCACTCAAACTTCTCTTCTCTTCAGCAGCTTAGCCTCAAAGCAAATCCAGCTCTCATTGGGCCTATCCCAACTCAAATCTCCTCTCTTGAATCAATCCAAGTACTTACTCTCTCACAAAACAATCTCCGAGGCGAGATTCCAGAGGCCATCTCTACCCTGACCTCTTTGATTCATCTTGACCTTAGCTATAACAGATTAACAGGCAAAATTCCAGCCCAGGTGGGGAAACTGAGCAGCCTTGTAGACCTTGACCTTAGCTATAATTCTCTTAATGGTCCAATTCCAACATCAATTGGAGAAATGGGCATGCTCCAGAAACTAGACTTGAGTTCCAATTCACTACTAGGAAGCATTCCACAGAGTGTAGAGAACCTGAAGTTATTAACTTTCCTTGCTTTAAGTGAAAATAGGTTGAGTGGTTATCCTAAGCCTCCCAATGGCCTCGCCAATCTTCAGAACCTTCAATACTTGTTCATGGATAGCAATCCGATGTTCGTTCCATTGCCGCCGGAGCTTGGAAGGCTGCAGAGGCTGCAGGAACTCAAGCTAGCAAACTCCGGCTACTCTGGGCAGATTCCTGCAAGCTTCACCTGGCTGAAGAACTTAACTGCTTTATCCTTGGAGGACAATCGACTCAGCGGTGAAATACCTCCTGGGTTGGGTGGACTTAATAGGATATATCACTTGAATCTTAGCAGAAATATGCTTGCTGGAGTTGTTCCTTTTAGTGTTGAATTTCTTAGGCGGCTTGGGAGGAACTTGGATTTGAGTGGGAATTCTGGGCTCTGTTTCAATGGTAGCTCTAATGATTTTAAAGGAATTTTTAATGGAGTTGGTGTCTGTGGAAGTAGACTTTCTTCCACTACTCCCAATATTCTGCATCCATTGAAGAGTTCCTCTGTGTCTTCTTCTTCTTCTTTTGTGTATTGGGTGTTTGGCTTTATGAGTTTCAGTGCCATATACCTTTGCCTTGGCCTTTGCCTTACTTAGGCAGTGCACTGCCCTCCCTCTGGTTTTTATTGATTTACTTCTTTCTTGGTTCAGTCTCTTGCTTGTTGTGTATTTTGCCATAACTTATTAATAATTATGAGTTTGATCACTTTCATGGAAAATTGAAGGAAGTTTGTAATTATATGTTTGGGTGCAATGCTTTCTTTCTTTTTATGCTTGGTTTAAGTCCTTAGAGATGACACTGAATGTTGCACTTTGATTCACACTGTAAAGGTTTTAGCATATTAATCCTTAGAACATGAAGTGCTCTGCAGGTGCCAACATATATTGAAAAAAAGAGATTATTAGTGAGATTATTAGTAAATTATATTATAAAGGAACAACACGCCAATCGATTTAGAAAAAAATACAGGAGTAAATTGAGGAGTAAAACAAAAAATGAGCTCAGGGGTCCAAACGGAGAAATATCAGAAAGGGCTCCAACAAAGAGGAAAGTTAATATCCGGGAAGCTCTAAATAGTATCCCCAGTAGAGGCAAATGGCAAAAGCCTCAAAGACTAAGCACCACATGGCAGCAGTGACGAAGAACTCAGCAGTAGAGAGGATTAGTCCAACATAAAATTCAGAAAAAAAAAACTTAATGTGAAGGTATTCGAAGCATGTATAGAGGAGAAAGCCATCCATAACAAAAATTTCGTTATTTGCCAGCCAAAGGGGAGAATTAAACCATAGTTCGAAATAGAAAATAAACTTGCGCTTGAGCCTGAATTGAAGAGTTTGGTAAACATGACAACTGAAGAATAAAAAACCAATAAAAGCAAAATTCTCAAACCACAAAGTTTTGGTATCTGATCAGAAATTTGAGAATATTGGCGTGACCAAGAACACAAATCACAAGTATGGTATCCATGAAATATTTAATTAAATAAAACCAATGTAGCCCAGTTCGAGAAAGCCAGAAGAAGCAAAGGTAGAAGTGGGGTAAACTTTCAAATATAAGCATAACCAACAAGTATCTTAAAGATAAAATCCATTGTAACTTGTTTGTGGAGACTAAGAAAGTAGTGTTTCAGCTCAAGAGAGGAGGCATTGTGATCCATGCATTGATTTTCCATCAAAAAGCAAGGTGTGCAGTTAGAGAAGAATGATATTCAAAGGGCTTTGCTAAGGAGAACATCCAATTGCTGAATATGGAAACCCAAAAAGTGAGTAATATGTGAGGCAAGAAGGTTGAGGAGAATTGCAAGTGGCAACATGAAAAATTTTGCCATCCAATACATAAAGCCTCAAGAGTATTGGTTAACAATGTATCCCTTTCTTGATTTCTGCTCGATTTTCAGATTTTTGTTTTCATAGCCTTTTTAATGTAATAGATAACTTCAGAAGAACTGTTAATTTTTCCATCAAATTTTCTCCCATCTCTTTTTTTCCAGATGAAATAAACGATGGATTGTTATGAGAGAAGATAGAAATTTTGTTACTAGCTTTAGACATAAAATTTGAAGTAGAATTGGGTTGTGAAGAAATATTATACATTAGGGTGACCAACTTTTTAAAAATCATTTGAGAACAAACAAATAAAGAAAAATTGACTTAACAAACATAGAGATGGAACATAAATATTTCTGGTAATAAGAGGATCAGCAGTCTTTAATACATTATTAATTGCCCGCCAAGAATAAAGGGAATACATGGGAGCATATATTTTATGTCAAAAGATTCCAAATTAACAGTAGGTAAGGTAAGTTGCTGTGAATATTTTTACAAATCATTTTAAATGAATGATTATCCAAGTTTTTTCATAGTAAGTTGTCTGAAGAGTTAATGGATAATAATGGCATTAATGTCAACAATGACCAAAAAGTTTTTTGCCAGCTTGTTTTGCCTCCAGCTAGAAGAATCATTGAAAAAGCTAAAGAGAATCACAAGGTTGGAAAGTAAGAGAGTTATAACTTTGAGGTTCAAGAATTTCATAGATATTCTTACTATTTATCCACGGGTCCCTGAGCAAGTTAATGTTACTACAATCTTCAATAGAGAAATAAAAGCAATTTTTATTATCTAGAGCCACTCTTTTGGGCAATTTCTAGAAAAATAAGTAGTAGATGTACATTTGAGATTCTAGAAAGAGAAGCAGTGACTTTTAAACCATTTAAAAATACAGTCATTGCCATTTGCAATTCACAAAATCAACTTAATCATAAAATCAAGAGATATAGCTTGAATGGAGAAGAGGCCTAAGCCCTCATAATATTTCGGTTTGCAAATAGTTTCTAAAGAAATATTGTGCATTTTTTTGTTGATAATAGAACCATGAAGAAGAAACTTAAAACATCATAAATGAATCATTCTAATGTAAACTTTGGATAGAAAAAGCTCTAACTCAATAAATAATAAGGTTTTGAATAG